TTTAAGATTTTTATCTTATCTGAGAGACAAGGAGAGGAGACGGAGAGGGAGAGGGAGAGGGAGAGGGAGAGGTCTTCCATCCGCTGGTTCATTCCCCAAATGGCCGCAACTACCAAAGCTGTGTTGATCCGAAGCCAGGAGCCAGGAGCTTCTTCCTGGTCTCCCACTGGGATACAGGGGCCCAAGGACTTGAGCCATCTTCTACTGCTCTCCCAGATCACAGCAGAGCTGGATCGGAAGTGGAGCAGCTGGGACTCAAACCGGCGCCCATAAGGGATGCCGGCACTGCAGGGAGAGGATTAACCTACCGTGCCCCAGCGCTGGGCCAGCGTGGGTCGCTCTGATCATTTCCAGGCTACAGATTTCGCGCCCCTCGCTCCGTGCCGTCCGTTGTTCTTTGCTCTGTGCGTGTCTGGAAGTGGGTCTACAGAGGAGCGTCTTAGGGCTTGTTGGGCTGTTTGCCCTTTGCATCTGCATTTCTGTGGTCAGAAAATATCCCCTTGTGAGGTTGGCTCTCTGGACTCTGCTGATGCATCCTAGGTTGCCAAGATCACCTGCTTTCCACCGCGGGGCGCGGGCCCCACGGAGCCCTTTACAGTGGTTATGGTTTTTGTTAACATCTGTACTATCCTTGTATTTTCCTTCTGTCTGTCCGTAAGACCTGCGGCTCTGACGGCGAGTTTTTCCACTCCCCCACCATCCTTGCCATTCTGGAAACTTCAGCGTTTAGCATCGTGCGGCTGTGTGGTTTGGAACACGTAAGGGCATCATTATTCTGTCTTCATCAGACTGTTCCTCTTAGCCCAATATTTCTGGAACTTCTGTGATCCGAAGGTCTTTTACCCAGTGTTCCGTCTTCTGTTAGGGTTTTCCTCGTGAGCCTTTGCCAGCCTGTATTTTCAGGCCAGCTCAGTTCTGACACAAACCCTGACATCATATGAGTAGCATAAAGCAAAAACGCAAACGCGGAACAGAGAGACGATAATGACTTTGAAGAGTTTGCTAATGAGTCACAAGTGCAATTCCAGACACTCCCAGGAGGGAACACTATTTGTTCTGTTTTCACTTTTTTATAATCTAAGCAAATTAAAACCTGTGCAATAGTCAACAGGTTTTTCCCCTCTCCAGGACTTCCGATTTCCAGTTCCTTCTGGATCCTGGTCGGGCAGGTGCATGAGTGGCAAGAAGACCCAGCCCTTTTGCCCCCCAGCTTGCAGGGTTTGACGCTTGTTTTCCCGCCGCCTGCAGGCTGCTGGCCCCTGTTGCACACCCGAGGAGTCTGCTGGACTCAGTTCTCCCGTCAGCTTTAGGAACGTGTCTTCCCGGGGCCCTCGGAGCATTGCCTCTCCCCTGCTTCCTCGGCTCCGTGCTTCCGGGACTCCCTGAGATGCTTCCCGGCTCCAGCTCCCGTGTCTCCGTCTCTCATTTTCCCCATCTCTGTATCTTCCTGAGCTGCCTGCCTCTCGGCTGTTCAGACCTACCTTGTAGTTCGCTCTCTTCAACTGCACTTGACCGGCAACCGATCAGTGATATTTTTTATTTCAGTGACTTGACTTTTCCATTTCTAGAAGTTCGATGTCTGTCTTTCTCAGATCAACCTGCTGTTTGCTCACAAACTCCAATCTTGTCCTTGTGGTTTCAGTTTCTTTTCTCTGTCGTAAGTTGACACGTGCTTAGTCTCTCAGGTTGTCCTCTCGTCTCAAATTCTGGAAGTGCTGGTTGTCCTCTGCCGCATCACCTGACCCTCCCTCATGGTGATTCATTTCCTTGTGTGGCTTGTAATTTTTTTTAAAAGGATGCATTTATTTGTGGCTGGCATTGTAGCGCAGAGGGCTCCTGTACTGGATGGAGCATCAGTTCGAGTCCCGGCTGCTCCTCTTCCGATCCAGCTCTCTGCTGTGGCCTGGGAAAGCAGCGGAGGTTGGCCCAAGTACTCGAATCCCTGCACTCACGTGGGGGACCGGAAGAAGCTCCTGGCTCCTGGCTTTGGCCTGGCCCAGCTCAGGCTGTTGCCGCCATTTGGGGAATCTTTCTGTCTCTGCTGCTCTGTCACTCTGCCTTGCAAAGAAATAAAATCCTTTTTTATTTGAAAGGCAGAGTGACAAAGAGAGAGAGAGCACACGTGTGCGCGAGAATCCTTGGGCGGACTGGAGAAACGGGTCGAAGAGTATCCGGTTCATATTTGATGCTTGAAAAGAAGCGTAGGTTTTTGTTTTTTTTTTTTTATAGACAGAGTGGACAGTGTGAGAGAGAGACAGAGAGAAAGGTCTTCCTTTGCCGTTGGTTCACCCTCCAATGGCCGCCATGGCCAGCGCACCGTGCCTATCTGAAGACAGGAGCCAGGTGCTTCTCCTGGTCTCCCATGGGGTGCAGGACCCAAACACTTGGGCCATCCTCCACTGCACTCCCTGGCCACAGCAGAGAGCTGACCTGGAAGAGGGGCAACCGGGACAGAATCCGGCGCCCCGACCGGGACTAGAACCCGGCGTGCGGGCGCCGCAAGGAGGAGGATTAGCCAGAAGCGCAGTTCTGATCGTCACCAACGTTTCCGGGTGCTGCTGGCTGCTGCTGCGTGTAATTAACGTGGATTAGTGAGCCCTCCACCCATAGGCCCAGGCCGCCGTCCTCAGATTGGCACTCAGGTGTGTCACACCTCCCCCAGGGCAGCTCGGAGCTGGCGCCAAACCCAAGCCCCAGGTCTACTCCGCCCTCCTGGGCAGTGGCTGCCAGGGGGGCGAGCACGCGGCCTGCTTCGCCGAGCTGCGCCGGAGCTTCGTGAACACGCGCCCGGTCAAGCTGAAGAACCTCATCCTGCTCGTCAAACACTGGTACCGCCGGGTGAGCACCCCCTCGCGCCTCCCAGGAAGCCGCTGCTGTGATGACAACCGCCTCGGCCAATCAGCTCCTGCTCTCACAGCCCCCCGCCCCTTCCGTTGTTTCTTATTGGCCGTCAGAGCGGAAGGACCACCTCTGACATGCTCCATTTCCTGCTCAGACCATAGCATCTCTCGGTCGGGTCAAAGTCCCTTTCTTGTAGCTGGCATTCACTGTGCCTGCCCAGACCACCCATTTCTCCCCTCTCCTCACACTGCCAATGCCCTGTGTCCCCCCACTTCCAAGTCTCAGCTTGGGCTGTCCCCCCATCGTCTTCGTCGGTTTTGCTAATAAATCCTGGGCGTACTTCGCAGCTAACTAAACACTTCCCCAAACGCCCACTTGCACTGTTGCACTCGTGTGTGGAACAACGAGTGAACTCCACCCTCAGCTCACGGGCAGGATGGGTGCTGGGGTACCCAGAGGGGTACCTTGCACACCCACCCCCATAGACCCCTGGGAGGAAGCGCCCAGGCAACAGGCCAAGTGGGAGCCCCCAGCCTTGTGCTGTGACCTTGGACGAGTCACCACCCTCCCCCAGACTCAAGTGTAGCCTCCTATGAAATAAGAAGCGTCATGGGGGCCATCTGCAAGGTTCCGTTCGCGCGGTGCTTCTGTCGTATATAACACCTGCTCCCCCCACCCCGCCCCGTCAGCGGTTAGATGCCCACAGGCACTGACCTTTGCTTGGCCTTGGGTGATGCAGGTTGCGGCTCAGGACACAGGAAAGCAGCCAGCCAGCGCCTCTCTGCCCCCAGCCTACGCCCTGGAGCTCCTGACCATCTTTGCCTGGGAGCAGGGCTGCGGGAAGGATCGCTTCCCTATGGCCGAGGGCCTCCGCACCGTCCTGGAGCTTGTCCGGCAGCATCAGCAGCTCTGTGTCTACTGGACGCTCAACTACGGCATCGAGGACCCGGCTGTGAGGACCCACCTTCTTGGCCAGCTTCGGAAACCCAGGTGCAGGCCGCTTCCCTCTCCTCCTCCTGCCGCCCTTGTCACTCTGGAGTCAGTGTGTCCAGAGGGGGCCAGCCCCTTTGCTCCTCCGAGGAAACCAGGGCCAGTTTTAGTAGCACCAACAGGAGACTATTTCTCAAATAGGGGCCGCCCCTAGCTTTCTGATAAAGACGACAAGGTCACGCCCCACTTCGCCCTCCTTCCTGGTGCCTCTCACCACCTGCTCCTCCGCTGACGCCCTCCTGCCCCACCCCTGCCCACCATTCTGCCCCTAGACCTCTGATCCTGGACCCTGCTGACCCCACCTGGAATGTGGGCCAGGGCAACTGGGAGCTGTTGGCCCGCGAAGTGGCGGCCCTGGGGACACAAGCCTGCTTTACAAGTGGAGACGGGACAGCCGTGCAGCCCTGGGACGTGCTGGTGAGAGACGGGACCTGGGGGGGCGGGAGCTCCCAGGTCCACCTTAGTGGCTGGTGCCTGCGTCCTGGGGCTGCAGGGAGCACGGGCTGCTGCTGGCCTCCAGTGCCCGCTTCCGGGACCTGCGCTACCCATCCAGCGGTGCAAAACGCGGGGGCAATTCTATGACGCACTTCCTGCTCCAAAGCAAAGCCTTGTCTCCAGCTCAGCTCCCAGCTCACTGAGCTCCTTCCCGGCCCCCACCCCCTGCTGCTCTGCTTCTCCCTGGCACTGCCCCCGCCAGCCGCATGCATGGGAATCCCTGCCTCGGGCCTGTTTCTGGGAAGACCAGGCTGAGACCTAAGCCATCGGCAGCTCCCGACGCCATATTGCATTTGTTCGTTTTCTGCTACTATAACGAAATACCTGAGGCTGCTCAACTTTATATGAAAAGGGGTTTATATAGCTCGGAGCTCGGGGGCGTGGCGTCAGCTCGGCCCTGTTGAGGCCTACATGGCAGATGGCGCCTTCGTCTGCTGCGGTTGCCCTAACTCGGATGCCTGGGAGGAGCTTCCTGGGAAACAAAAGGTGGACAAACTTCTAGTTTGGAGGGTGGGGTCCAGGATCGGGCGGCCCCAGGGCGTCTGGTCATGGCAGGCGTGGAGGAACGACCACGCGGTGAGCCAGGAAGCAGAGAGGGGACGGCTGGCCAGAACTTGAAGTCAAATAAATCCTCCCAGGCAGGCCCAGAGTCCTTTTTATTTTTTTAAGAGTTTTATTTATTTGAGAGGCAGAGTTACAGACAAAGAGAGGAAGAGAGAGAGAGAGAGAGGTCTTCCATCTTCTGGTTCACTTCCCAAATGGCTGTTTCGGCTGGAGCTGGACCAATCCGAAGCCAGGAGCTAGGAGCCTCTTCCAGGTCTCCCATGTGGGTACAGGGGCCCAAGGGCTTGGGCCACCATCTACTTCCTTCCCAGGCTACAGCAGAGAGCTGGATTGGAAGTAGAGCAGCTGGATGTGAACTGGCGCCCATATGGGATGCTGGTGCCGCAGGTGGAGGCTTAGCCTACTACGCCATAGCGCTGCACCCCACCCCCAGCCCTAAGGACTTCCCGCCAGCCCCACCTCCTCCCCACCAGTTGGGCCAAGTCCCCACCCTAATTCTTCCTCCTTAACTCAGAACGGACACACCAGGTGGTGCAGGTGCCCGAGACAGGAAGCCAGGGAGCCAGAGTGGTTCAGGGTCGGGCTCACCCTTGGGAGAACTCAGGCCCCGGTGAGGACGAGCGCACCCCTTTCGAGGGCCCCCAGAGACCCTGCCGGGCTCCGCCTCTTTTCTTGCTTTTCACAAATTGCAGCTCTTTGTGTACCAAGAGCTCGCATGATTTCCCTTAGTGTTGATGTCTTGGAGAATCTGCTCGGGGAAGTCACGGAGCCCAATGTAATGAAGCCTCTGTCCTCGTCTGGACGGACACGGTGGCGGCACCTGGCCACTTGTTTGCTCAGACAGGCCCGAGCGAGGACCCTGGCCGGCCTTGCACAGGTGGCTCCCAGAGAGCTAGTGAGCCATCCTGTGTTCGGGAGAGCAGTGAGGCGAAAGGCTAAGCTCCGCCTCTTAAAGGACCCGCCACACCAAGAACCAAGCCTGCAGCCCACCACCTCTGGGGGACAAACCACATCCAGGTCATAGCAGAAATAATGTTTTAATTTTTTGTTTATTTATTTGAGAGGCAGAGAGAGAGAGAGATCTCCCATCTACCAATTCGCTCCCCAAACAGGGCTGGGCCAGGCCCAAACATGGAGCCCAGAACTCGATGCAGAGAGATGGCGGCCTGAACCTTCATCGCTGCGCCTCCCCGGGTGTGCACTAGCAGTAGGAGCCGTGCTGGCACTTGACCCTAGACCTCGAATATGGGCTGTGGGTGCCCCAGGATGTCCTAACCACCAGGCAGAGTGTCCACCCTGTGACGTTTCCAGTGGGGTCTCAAGGCAGTGCCGTGAGAGCAGGGCCTCACTGTGCCATTTAAAGGCGGGGAAACAGGCAATGCATCGGTGCCGGCACCAGAACTCGAACTCAGGTCCAGCTGGGAAGGCGGATGTGGGAGACGGTGGGAGCCTTGTCCTCAGCCGCTAGCAAGGGGCAGGCTTGGGTGCACGCTGGGCTACCCATCGCGAGCCACCCCCACGCCCCACCCCGGGCTCTCTCTGCAGCCGGCTCTGCTTCACCAAACCCCAGCCGCGGACCTCGACAAGTTCATCAGCGAATTTCTGCAGCCCAACCGCCAGTTCCTGGCTCAGGTGAACAAGGCTGTCAACGCCATCTGCTCCTTCCTGCGGGAAAACTGCTTCCGGAATTCGCCCATCAAAGTGCTCAAGGTGGTCAAGGTGAGGAGCCCCCGGAGCTGCCGTCAGGAGGGTCCTGCGGGCTTGTGACACCCCCCACCGCCCCCGCCCCGGCCAGGATCAGGTGGTGGAGGGGCCCCTCCCACACCTCTTGGGCAGAGTGTCGGGGGAGGGTGGTTCCCGCAAAGACAGCCAGGAGGCCGCTGGCATGGGCAAATGTCGCACTGGCCCCTGCACCAGGCCCAACCTCAGCCACAGTTAGAGAGACACAGGGAGACCCAGGTCAGCTCCACGGGGAGCAGGTCAGTGAAAACACTCAGGCCTGCAATTTGCTGTGTGGCCCCAGGCAAACACCTTCCCCTCTCTGATCCTCACCCGTAACCCTTGAGAGGGTGGCTTGACTCGCTGGTCCTCAGCGCCGGCTTCACCCAGGACTCACAGAGGGTCTTGGAAACCCCCCAGACACACAAAGGTCAATTCTGTCTTGAGGGAGGGGCCCAGCCACGGCATGTGCCGTGCGTGCAAGCTAGAGAGAGGCAGCCGAGAAAGTGACACAAAACCCCGAAGTCCCCTCCAGCCGCCACACGTGACAGAGGGAGGAGGTTCTGACCCAGCTCCTCCTCCTCACGGCTGTGCCGCGTCACAGCTGCAAGGCCGAGGTCGTGCCGCGGGGCGCCAGGTCGGAATCCAGAGCCCAGGGCCAGGAGGACGGCACCCGGGGCCAAGCTGCCTGCCTTGTGCTTCGCAGGGCGGCTCTTCAGCCAAAGGCACGGCGCTGCGAGGCCGCTCGGACGCCGACCTGGTGGTCTTCCTCAGCTGCTTCGGCCAGTTCAGCGAGCAGGGCAACCGGAGAGCCGAGGTCATCGCGGAGATCCGGGCCCAGCTGGAGGCGTGTCAGCAGGAGCGGCAGTTCGAGGTCAAGTTCGAGATCTCCAAGTGGGAGAACCCCCGCGTGCTGAGCTTCTCGCTGTCGTCCCCGACCATGCTGGACCAGAGCGTGGACTTCGACGTGCTGCCTGCCTTTGACGCCCTGGGTGAGGGTGCCCAGGCACAGGCCTGAGGAAGAGCAGGAGCGGGGACAGTTGTGGGAGTTGTGCACTGCACAGCCACCAGGCCAGACCTGTCTCCGGGGGCAGGCCTTCCAGATGTGTGGCTGCATCACGGCTTTCCTGCAAAGGGTCCGGCGGGAAGGGCGCCTTTTCCTGATTCGCAGTGGCCCCAAGCTGGGCTCTCGCCCCAGCCACGCCCCCAGCAGGCTGGGTGACCTGCCCGGGCAGACCCATTCACTCATTCATCCAGGAGGTACCTACTCCGTGCTGGGTGCCCTTCCAGGCACGGCGGATAAAGCCCTGAGCCAAACAGGTGCAAATCTCTTGCAATTGGCAGAGCGAGAAAATCCCGCACTTCTGGGTGTGTTTGGCTCCTGAGTTTTGGGGGCCAAGAAGCAGCAGGGGGCTCTGTGTGGAAGTGTGCTGGAGTCTTCCTGTGCTCCCTTCCCAGAGCAGGGATGGTGATGTGAACACTGCGCCACAGGCCGTTCCCGCATGCGCACGGGCAGGTGCACTCAAGAGTGAGATCTACTCCCTGTCTATTAGAGATGAGCCAGTGTTGGAGGCCCCAAAGAAATGTCAGCTCCAGCTGAGCCTTTCTCTGCCTTGGAAGGGGACAGAGAGGAAGTGAGTCCCCCGGGGCTGTCATGCTGGGCCGTGCCACAGCTGTCTGTCCCCCCCAAAATATACCCGGGGCTCCCAGCAGGCCCCAGGCCACCCGAACGTTTGAACACCGAAGCATAGGCTCTCAGAAGTCCGCCCCAGGTCAGCCCCGCCGGGCCCCTCCGGGACGTGGAGTGACCGTGCCCTTGGTCCCATCTGCAGGCCAGCTGGTCCCCGGCTCCAGGCCCAGCTCTCAGGTCTACGTCGACCTCATCCGCAGCTACAGCCACGCGGGCGAGTTCTCCACCTGCTTCACGGAGCTGCAGCGGGACTTCATCGTGTCCCGGCCCACCAAGCTCAAGAGTCTGATCCGCCTGGTGAAGTACTGGTACCGGCAGGTTGGTCTCGGACGCCCCCGCCCCTGCGTGCGTGCGCGCACACACACATACACACACACACACACACACACAGGGACACCCTGGGTTGGGGGAGCAGGATGAGGGGTATAGCCTGGCTTGGAGGATTTCGGTTTTCTTGTCTGGAAAGTGAGGGGACTAAACCATGTCCCAGGCTTGGACGGGGTCATGCATGGCGAGGCGTCTGGCGCATGCAGGTGTTCGGTGGGTTTGGGGGTTCTGGAAGGCTCCTCCCATACCTCACCATTGCCCGCGTGGACAGCACTCTCTCCTCCTCTTCCCCAGTGCAACAAGATGCCCAAGGGAAGGGGCTCCCTGCCCCCCCAGCACGGGCTGGAGCTCCTGACGGTGTACGCGTGGGAGCAGGCCGGTCGGGATGCCCAGTTCAGCATGGCTGAGGGCTTCCGCACGGTCCTGGAGCTGGTCAGCCAGTACCGCCAGCTCCGCGTCTACTGGACGCTCAACTACGACAGGGAGGACAAGACCATCAGAGACTTCTTGGAACTGCAGCTACAAAAACCCAGGTCCGGGTCCGCCCCTCCCCGCCGGCCCGGAGTCTCAGGCCCGGGTCCCGCCCTCTACCCACCTCCCGCAGGCCCTGAGCAGGGACAGCAGGCCTTTCTTTCTGGAGCTGGGTCCTCTCCTGGCCGTGGGTGGTGAGCAGGCAGCTTCCTGTTCTCCTGTGAGTAGCGCTGCCGGATGAAGTTCAAGACCTCAGGTTCCACTGGATTTCAGAAAAGCAGTGCATGGCTTTCCTAGTGTCGGCGGGTCCCATGTGCTGTCTGGGATGTGTTCATGCTCCTGAGACACACTTCTTAGTTACCCGAAGCTCTGTTTTATCTGGGCATCCTGTGTTAGCATTTGTTCAATCTGGCAACCCTGCCTGTCAGCCCACTGGCTGATCTAAGGAGCCTTGGCCTTTCTGCCTGCCTCCAAAACGGGTACAGAGATAACAGATTGTGGATTCCTGATGGGTCTCCAGCCAGCAGGTGGTAGCCCCTTACAGCGATGTGTTGAAAAGGATTCTGGGGTCATGACTATGCTCAGCTGGAAAGAGTACCCTCATCAGTCAGTGGTGGGGAGAGTAGTGCAGCTAGTGCTGTGATCAATTAGCAATGCCTGCTCCGCATGCAGAAGGGGTGGGCAGTCATGCTGTGATTCCTTAGTGATGTCTGCATGGGTGCAGAGTGGGAAGGTGGACCAATGTAGCTTCTCTTCTATCCTTGCCCTAGAGGGAGTGCCTGGAGCATGGTCGGGGTAGAGGGGTGTCTCTGAGTCCCACCCCTGGCCCCAGTAGGGTGTTAGGTGAGAGAGAGAATAGTCCAACCGACAGCAGGTGGATGCTGGGAAAGAGTCTGACCCAGATGGGGATTGCAGGCCCATCATCCTGGATCCGGCTGACCCAACTGGCAACCTGGGCCACAGTGCCCGCTGGGACCTGCTGGCCAAGGAGGCCGCCACCTACATGTCCTCCCTGTGCTGCATGGACAGGGACGGCACCCCCATCCAGCCATGGCCAGTGAAGGTGAGAGTTTGTGGTGCAGAGGAAGGAGCACCCTCGGGGCGGGGGAGGGGATGGGTCCTCACAAGTGGGCAGGGCCCAGGCGTGCCCCTGTGGCTCCATTTCCTGCCTGGTCATGCAGCCTCTGCAGAAAGGTTGGGAGTAACCAGTACTTTAACCCCTCCCTCGCAGGCGGCTGTGTGAAGCCCAGATGGTCAGCTGTCCTACTGGATGGACAGAAGCAGACACCAGCCCTCGGAGTGGGGAGATGCAGGCCCCCTGCTGGATGCACCTGGATGTGTGTGTGCACGTGTGTGTGTGTGTGTGTGCGCGCACACACGCTGTCCTCCTCAACCCAGCCTCCATCTGATCTCCCCACGTCCCAGCCCTGCCCTCAGTCCACTCTGCGTACCCAGCCCCACTGAGGTTCTTGAAACTCCACCGCTGCCCTGCCCTGCCCCGCCCCTGCCCTGCCCCTGCCCCTGCCCCTGCACACTGAGGCCTGCACACCCGCACACCAGCCTCGTGTGCAGCTTCTCCATCGCCTCCCCGATTCCAGCCTCGTCCCACCCTCGCTGAGGCTGCCTTCCGGCTCCCTGGCGCCCTCCACCTGCTGGGACCCATTCCTGCCTCCAGCAGCCTCTCCTTTATTTGTTAGCTGCAGTCAATTGAGTGCCTGGAGCACTGTGAGGTGAAGGATTTTTGAAGAACAGATATTTGTCTGAGAAAAGTGTCCTAATCAATTAGTGATGTCTGCCATGAAATGGTAGGGGAAATGATTGATTAGCAATGCCTGGCCTGGACGCAGAAAGGAGATGAGTGTACAGTGTGCATCTGGCTATTGAGGACCTGTCCGCTCAGTTACTAGCCAGGAAGCATGCCTGGGTCTGCTGGGGGCCTGCAGTGTGGACCCTCGTGGGACCCTTGCTGGGAGGCTTTTGGCTGGCACCGCCTCTCTATGCCTTTCATGCTACACTCCTCCAGTGTACACGTCTTGATCCCAGGCCCAGTTTTACTTCTGGGATTTTTCCTGGGTGCCTGGCTTCTCTCCCAACCAACTGGAAGGTACCAATAGGACTCTGCTTCCCTGGATCCTAAACCTGGGCCAGTGCCCAGCCCAGCAGTGCTCGGCTGTCTCTCTCTGCCCTGCCAGGCGGGTCCACCAGCACTCCTGACCTCAAACCCAACCGCAGTGCCCACGCTGCCCGAGGCTCAGCCTGGACACCAAAAGCAGTCCAGGAACATTGAACAAAGGAGAGTTGCCCTAGAGCACTGGACAGGCTGGTGGAGCAGCAGGCAGAGCCACCACGGGTCACCGGTCTCAAGGCCAGACCTCTGTGGCCAGTGGGGGCTGGGCAGGGCCGAGCCTGCTCTTTCTTTAGCAGTTTCTCCTGAGAACCAGCCAGGGTCTGGGAGGGTCCCATCTCCCATGTGACCTCACTGGGACCCAGACCCCCCCAACACGGGGGCCTTTGGGAATCTCGTTTTCCCATTCAAACCCCCACCCAAACCAGCGCAGACGCTCCGGGCACCAGGGGCACTCTGGGCACACCTGAACATCAGGTCTCAGCTTCCCCTCACCGGCTCAGGGCCCCAAGTGACCCCTCCCTCGCCGCCACACAGGCTCTGGGCCTCCCCTTCCGAGAGGTGAGGTTGGGATGCTGGGTGTGTGGTGTGAGGAGGGGCTGTCGCCTGGGCCGGCAGAGAGCAGGACTTGCTGATCTGAGCAGGGAGGGGCACATTTCATCCCAGTTCCTTGGTCGCTGACAGAAGCCACCCTGGTGTTGGCCCAGTGGCCCCACTGTGGCTCCTGGGGACTTCCTGGTGCAGCCTCACCCTTGGATGGAAGGACTTGACCTCATAAAGATGTTGATTCTCCCTCTGCTGAGTTATGTGTTTAAAGATTGCCCTAGGGGCCTGTAAAACCGCTGCCAGCAGTGCCGGCATCCCACATGGGGGCTCGTTCGAGTCGCGGCTGCTCCACTTCCGATCCAGCTCTGCTATGGCCTGGGAAAGCAGTAGAAGATGGCCCAGGTCTTGGGTCCCTGCACCCACGTGGGAGACCTGGAAGAAGCTTCTGGCTTCAGATCGGCACAGCTCTGACCGCTGCGGCCAGTTGGGGAGTGAATCCGCGGATTGAAGACCTGCCCCCACCCCGCCTCTCCTCTCTCTGTGTAACGCTCACTTTCAAGTAAATACATATTTTTTAAAAGTGATTGCCCTGACTTGTATGCCCAGCTGTAAGCTGCTCCCTGGCTTTTGCTGAAACGTGCTGGCACTGTGCCTCGGGGCCCGGGCCACCAGCGGTCCCTAGACCCTCTCCAGCCCTGTGAGTGTAGTTAGTTATTTTGATAATTCCCTTTGGCCATTATTTGTTTATATTTCACAAACCTCACCTGTGCGCCCTACCTTCGTCGTCTTCTTTTTTTTTTTTTTTTTAGAATGGCCTGGTCACGGCTACCCTAGTTTCTAGCCCAGCCACATTGTTGGCAATTTAATTTATTTACTTATTTTTTTAAGAAAGGAAAAAAGGCCGGCGCCGCGGCTCACTAGGCTAATCCTCCGCCTTGCGGTGCCGGCACACCAGGTTCTAGTCCCGGTCGGGGCGCCGGATTCTGTCCCGGTTGCCCCTCTTCCAGGCCAGCCCTCTGCTGTGGCCAGGGAGTGCAGTGGAGGATGGCCCAAGTGCTTGGGCCCTGCACCCCATGGGGAGACCACGAAAAACACCTGGCTCCTGCCTTCTGATCAGCGCGGGGCGCCGCGCCGCGGCGGCCATTGGAGGGGGGAACCCACGGCAAAAGGAGAAATTTCTCTCTATCTCTCTCTCTCACTGTCCACTCTGCCTGTCAAAAATAAATAAATAAAAAAATAAAAATAAAAAAAAAGAAAAGAAAGGAAAAAAAATCAACAAAACTTGAAACTTCTTTTGCTGTTCCTATTGTGGGGGGGGGGGTCTGGACAGGGTGGGACAGGGATGGGGTCTCCTCGACACTTGGCCTTTTCAGTACAGCCTCCGGCTTTATCTAGGAAAGAGCCAGGGGAGTCCTTGGCTGGCCACCGCCAGCCCTCAGAGCACATCTGAATTGAGGAGCTTCCTCCACTCCCACGAGGGACACGACCGTCCTGCAGCGGTGCCTGTGCCCCCTGGAGAAATCCGTTCCTGACCCTTCCAGGGTCTCACTGTAGAACCGGATTTAGAGTATTAATTCTGAAGGCAGAATGAATGGAGCTATGCAACTGGGTTCTAAGCTTCACCGGGAAAATGGGGTAGAAATTGCGTTTATGTCTGTAAGTAAGCGCCGTGTTCTGCTTCACCTGTGCCCCTCAAAGGACTGTCGCGGGCCACCTGGGGCATTCCTGGACCCCTGGGGTGACTGGCCGAGCACGATCAGGACGGGGCAGTAGGCGGGCTCCTCCCCATCATGTAATGGCTGCTCTTTTGGGAGTCTTATTCCAGGCCAGCTTACCGTGGGTCTGGGTAGCGGATGACTCCACTGGGACCGGGGTAGAGGGATACAGCTTGAGGGGCGTGGAGAACAGTCAGGTGTCCCGGCTCCAGGACACCGTGCTCAGGAATTCGGAAACTAAGCTAGCCTGGTCACTACATTTCCTCCAGCCCCCTCTGCCCCTGCCTCCCTCCCCTAGGCCCAGACTCCTGCTGCCACCCTCCGACGGGGCCAGGAAGCTCCATCCAGGCTCCCCTCCCTCTTCTGGCACCAGAGTCCTGCAGTTTGCTGGTTGTCTTGTGTGTGCTGTTCCATGGTGTCAACTGCACTAATAAACCTTTTATTCAGCTCTAAAAAAAATTTAAAAAAAAAAGATTGCCCTAAGAACACCCCCCATGTGCCTTTCTCTGGACCCAGACAAGCTGATAGCGACTCTCATGTGGAAAATCGGCACGCGAGAGTGGCGAGGGAGAGCAGGGTTGAAGGGCCCAGCCAATCTATATCCTTAAAGATGTGTTTGTTTGAAAGAGTGACGGCGAGCGGGGGAGAGGTCGTCCATCCGCTGGCTCGCTTCTCGGTGCCCACCTCCCAGATGCTGAGTCTAATTGCCAGGCCAAAGCCAGGAGCCCAGAACTCCGTCCGGGCGTCCCTCGTGGGTGCTTGGGACATCGTGGGCTGTTCCCCAGGTGCATGAGCAGGAAGTGGAATAGCCAGAACTCTCAGCAGCCTCACCTGTCTCCACGCCTGTCCCCAGCCCATGGGAAAACACTGGGAAGCCTGTAGTGTCCCATCCACCTGGGGCCGGCACGTAAACAGGCTAGGGGGCGGTGGGGGCAGGGGGCGGTGACAACCAGGACCCTGGGAAAAAAAGCCAGGAGGCCAGAGGCGGCCACCAGCCCTGAAGGCCACGTGCGGAGGGAGACAGAGGCCAGGCGGAGGGAGACAAAGGCCAGGCAGGTGCAGAGGAGGGCAGGGCTCCAGAGAGAGCATGGTGGTGTCGTAATTTGCAATCTTTAAATTTTTAATTTGACATTTTTATTGAGCTGTCACACCCTGACCGTCGCCCTTTGGAAGTGTGGAACTCTGGGGTTTCAGTGCGTTGCGTTCACACGGGCTCTGGTTGCCATGCTCACAGGCTGAGCCAGGTCACGTGGGAGTTCCAGAAGGTTCTCCACCCGGGAAGGAGACCGAAACCCACCCGCAGTCACTCCCCGTTCTCCGTGGGAGTCACGGGGACCACCTCTACGAGTGGCGTCCTAGGAGGTGTGGCCCTGCCACCTAACAGTGCTCTGTGGGGGAGGGGACACCGTCATCATTGAGACGACTCCGCCCTGTGAGCAGACCCCGTGGTGTCTGTCCCCCTCCTCCATGGGTGGGCAGGTGACAGAGGAGGGACCCGAGGCCAGTCTCCCTGGAGGAGACACTTCCAGCCGCGTTGGGGTTCCCCGGAGAGGCAGACGCGGGAGGACACACAGGCAGATGTGCACACAGATTTGTGGGCAAGGATTGGCTCACATGAGTAAAGGAGGTGGAGAAATCCCACCATCGGCCATCTGTCGGCTGGGAAGCAGGTGCCATGGCTGCAGCACGAGGTTGAAGGTCAGGGAACAAACGGACGGAGGGACGGAGCCCCAGTCCTGCTCTGAAGGTGGTCGGAGCAGGGCTGCAGTGTCCAGGGGCAGGAGGCGGCGGTGGGCTAGCGCCCACCAGATGCCTGGAGGGTCTGAGTGGGTCACAGACAGGACCCCAGCGCCAGCACACAGCACAAGCCGGCCCTTCCTCCCCTGTGCTCCTCAGGCCCTCGCTGATGGTCGGGGTGATGCCCCGCCCACCTGGGGGAGGGCCGTCTTCATTCGGTCAGGATGGGACAGCGTGGAGACCCAGGAGAGAGCGGACGTGCGGCTGGGGGCAGCTGCTGGTGGGCGCCCCACTTCCTCCGAGGGAGGCCAGTACTTTTCTATGAATACCTTCAACTGCTTGGATGAAGCCCACCACGTTGGGAGGATATGGCGCTTCACTCCATGGAATTAAATGTTCTTCTCTTCTTTAAAAAAAAAAATAACTTCGCAAAAAGATCTAGAACAAATATAGCCAAAAACCCAGCTCAGCCAAGTGGAATTAACCGCCCAGCAGAGAAGAGCCCGCCCCCGGCCACCCCTTGGGGACATCTGCCTTCTGTGTGAATTCAAGCAGCACTGGCTGGGTGGGGAGGGGCCGCGAGGCCCTGCAGGTGTGTCTGGTCACGGGGCAGCTGTGTTTTCCCAGGAGCAGAACTGAAACCTGGGGCTGGGTTGGGCCCCGCCTTGCCGGCTCCGGTCTCTGGGCGTCTGTCTCCTCTCTGCCGCAGCCCCAGGGTCTGAGTACCCCGGAACAGACCCTCTATAACTTTTACCCGGTTAGCACCGTGTAGAAGCATCCCGGGCAGTGCCCCCCGACCCACCCCCACCCCCCCACACTGGGCAGGTGACGTCTAACCTTCATAGCAGCCCTGAGCACTCCCTCCCATTCTGCAGACAGGGAAAGTGAGGCGCTCAGAGCAGGCGGTGGGCACAAGGCCACACGCGTCCCGCACACGTGAAGCCCAGCCGCCAGGCGCCGGGCTCCAGGGTTCCGCGGAGCTGCTGTCGGCCTGGTGACCCCAGGCGCGGGGCTCAGTCAGAGGGCGCCCAGCTTCAGTTTCAGTTTCCCGGCTCTGGACCCAGGGTTTGGTAACCACAGCTGCGGGGGCGGGACAGAAGCTTCCAGATCTGGCTTTCTGTTTCCCAGTTCTGGGCAGGAACCAGAGAGAGGGACTCCTCCGGGTTCCCTCAGCCCATTCGCTACCAGCTCAGCAGCCAGCCAGCAGCCATGGGGAACTGGGAGTCCCAGGTGTCCTCCGTCCCCGCTCAGCAGCTGGGAGACTTTGTCCAGAACTCCCTGAGGCCCTATGAAGAGTGCCAGCGGCAGATAAGCCACCTGGTGGACGTCATCTGCTCCACACTGAAGGAGCCCCAGGAGTTTCCGATCGTGCGGGGCGTGGTCAGAGTAAGTCCAGAGCAGGGGTTGGGGAGCCCCGGGAGGAGGGGGGAGCGGGCGCCCAGGTGCCGAGATGACCGGAGGTGGTACCGAGGCACCGGCTCTGCGCCTGACTGAAACGGGCTGTGTCTCAATCTATACAATGGGCATGGCCATCACACCCACTTCAGAGGGCCGTAAGCTGGTCAGGCCTCAGGTCTAGCACATGGCTGATGCCCGAGACACGAGCAGCAACCCCTCTCTTTGCGTATCTCCAGCCTCCCATATTATAGAGGGGGTAAACTGAGGAAGCAGACCTTGGGAAACCCACTCGAGTTTGCTCCGGGGCTTTTCAACAGCAAAGGGGGGCTGGCTCTCACAGCTGGAAATGCTGGGTGCTGGGGGCCCTGCTGTGGTGCAGCAGGGAAAGCTGTGGCCTGTGGCGCCGGCATCCCATACGGCCACTGGTTCGAATCCCGGCTGCTCCTCCTCTGATCCAGCTCTCTGCTATGGCCTGGGAAAGCAGTGGAAGATCCAGCTGTTGAGGCCATTTGGGGAGTGAACCAGTGGATGGATGATCTCTCTCTATCTCTATCTCTATCTCTATCTCTATCTCTATCTCTATCTCTATCTCTCTAACTCTGCCTTTCAAATAAATAATTTTATAAAAAAGGGGAAAAAAATAATGCTGGTTGCTAGGAACACAAATCCCAGCACAGGGGCAGAGGGTCTGGAGGAAGGGGCGTTGGCAGGCGCCAGGACCCCAGGGTGAGGCTCCGGATCCCCAGCACCACCCTCAACCCTGTACAGCGCGGATGCTTCCTGGCCTCTGCCCTTGCACACGCCCATTAGCCTTCACAGAAAGATCTAGAAGCAATTTAACAAAATCTGGGTTCTTCAGCTCAGCCAAGTCAATGTAAAATTAACCAGCTCATAAACCTCCGCCAGCCGGGTTCTAGTCCCGGTCGGGGCGCCAGATTCTGTCCTGGTTGCTCCTCTTCCAGTCCAGCTCTCTGCTGTGGCCAGGGAGTGCAGTGGAGGATGGACCAAGTGCTTGGGCCCTGCACCCCATGGGAGACCAGGAGAAGCACCTGGCTCCTGGCTTTGGATCGGTGCAGCGCCCTGGCCGCAAAGCGCCGGCCATAGCGGCCACTTGGGGGGTGAACCAACGGAAGGAAGACCTTTCTCTCTCTCTCTCTCTCTGTCTTACTCTGCCTGTCAAAAAAAAAAAAAAAAGAAAAAGAAAAAAAAAGGTCACCAGCTCATCAGAGAAGGGGCCTGTCCCTGCCCACAGCCTGGTGTCCCCTGTCCCAGCCCAGGGAAGGAGTGTGGGGTGGGGGCGGACCCGGCTGGTAGCAGAGCTGGGATCGAAGCCCACGAATCCACTTCAGGGCTCGCATGCTTGGCCTGCAGCCAACACTGCCTCTCCTGGTTCATTTTCCCTCATTGAAAAATGAAGAAAAAAAGAAGAAAGAGGGCCATTTGCCTCTGTGGGATGCCCACGTCCTATGTCAGAGTCCCTGGGTTCAAGTCCCTGCTCCGCTCTCTCTTCCAGCTCCCGCTCCTGCGCCCCCTGGAGGCAGCAGGTGGTGGCTCAAGCCCTTGGGCCCCTGCCATGCACGTGGGAGACCTGGATGGGGCTCCTAGCTCCTGGCTTCAGCCTGGCCCAGTCCCCATTGTTGCAGGCATTTGGGGAGTGAAGCAGTGTTGGAAGTGCCCTCTCTCTCTCCTCTCTTTCTCTCTCTCTCCCCCCTCCCCGTAGCTCTGCCATTCAAATAAATCCATATATCTTTAAGAAAAAAAAAAAAGGGGTACTGGCTGGTGCTGTGGCCCGGTGAGTTAAGCCACCACTTGGAACACCAGCATCCTGTACCGGAGTGCCGGGAATTGAGCCCCAGCATCTCCACTTCCAATCCAGCTTCCTGCTAGTGCCTTCTGGGAGGAGACTCGAGAGGCAGCAGGTGATGGCCCAATGCTTGCCACCTGCATGGCAGACCCGGGTGGAGCTCCAGGCTCCTGGCTCAGCCCGGGCCAGCCCCGGCTGTTACAGGCATTTGGAGAGTGAACGAGGGGATAAAAGATTCTGTGTGTGTGTGTGTGTGTGTGTGTGTGTCCCTCTGACTTTCAAGTGGATGAAAACAAAGAAGCATTAAATAAATGACTGAAAAGAAGCTCAGTGTGCTGCCTACCGAATTCATTTGCCATTTTTTAAAAGAGTTATTTATTTTAAAGGAAGAGTTAGAGACACAGAGAGAGGTATCTTCCATCTGCTGGTTCACTCCTCAAATGACTACAACCGCTGGGGCTGGGCCAGGCCAAAGCCAGGAGCTTCATCTGGGTCTCCCACACAGATGGCAGGGGCCCAAGCACTTGGGCCATCTTCTACTGCTTTCCCAGGTGCATAAGCAGAGAGCTGGATCGGAAGTGGAACAGCTGGGACTTGAACTGGCGCCCATACAGGATGCCATCACTGCAGGCAGCAGCTTAACCTGCTGTGCCACAGAACTGGCCTTGGTTTTTTTTTGTTTGTTTGTTTGTTTACTCTATAGAACAGTATGGTAAACTACCCTCCCAGCTGGCCTGGGCCTGAGGTTTTTCCTGGAATGTGGGACTTCCAGTGCTAAAACTGGGACTCCCGGGTAATCAGTCAGGAGGAGTTGTGGCCGCTGGAACACGCATCTCCTCGTGTGGGCGTACTTTTGACTCATTCAACTTAAGAAAGCTACATGCTTGCATGTGGCTATCGGTCATTTTCACCACTGTATAATATCCCACCGTGTGAGTACTCCTCGCTAGCCGTTCGCTTGCTCGCGGCTCTTTGAGGGGCCTCCAGCTGAGCGCTGCCCTGAGCACCCCCGCTGCACGTGACGGCAACACTGTTGACTTTCCCGCTGGACTTCCCGGGGCCTGGAGGAGCCCGGAGTCCCACGGCTGCCTCTCTCTTGCCGGCAGGGCGGCTCGTATGGCCGGAAGACGGTGCTGAGAGGCCGCTCCGACGGGACCCTCGTCCTCTTCCTTGACCACTTTCAACAATTCCGGGATCAGAAGGAGAGCCACCAGGACATGCTCAGGATCCTCGGGCACCGGCTGATGATGCGCCTGGTGGCACAGGGGTACACTGACAAGTGGGAGGTCCTCACCACCCAGGACGGGCTCGTCATCAAGGTGTCCACCAGGTGGCAGAGCGTCGTCTTTGAGGTGCTGCCCGCTTTCAACGCGCTGGGTGAGCCCTGCTCGGGTGCTGGGGGCTGGGCAGAAAAATCCCCCAGAAGGGGGCGCCAGTGAGCCGGGCGGGCCCTCGAGGCTGGGGTGGGAAGGCATCCTCCCCACTCTGGAACTTCTGGGCCACCTGCTGAGGCTTTGGGGGACTCTGGGATTGGGCGTGGAGTCTCTGGGTCTGTACCAGCCAGGAGAATCACCTGGGCGATGCAGGTCTGAGCCCGAGCCCAGGGTTCTGCCTTTGTAACCAGCCCCACGAGGACGCTGCTGCTCACGGGCCACCCGAGAGGGCCTCCACGAAGGGTCATGGTTGCTCAGGGGAAGGAAGAGGCAAGCATTTCCCATCAGCCTTCCACGGGTGCTCTGCCGGACTTTGAGGGGTGCCTCAGACCCAGTGCTATCTCCCCAAGACCCTACCCACCTCCCGCGTCCCTGTCTCTGCAAGTGTCCTCTGGGTCCCGCCGATCGCCCGAGCCGGGGCTGTATCTCCTGTGGGGTCCCTGCCAGCTCTGTAACTGCCCACTGTAGGTGATGCTGCCACGCCCCCTGACAGCCTCTCATTGCCTATGGGACACGGAGCAAAGTCCTCAGCAGGACAAGGCTTTGGCAATCTGGTGGCTGCTGCCTCCTGACCTCTCTGGCCTGACCACGCAGCACCAGCCAGCTCCCCGTGCTGCAGCCGCTCTGAGCACCACTGGGATCTCAAGCTCACCATGATCGCTCAGCTTGGGGCTCTGGCCCCTGCTGTCTTTGTCCAGAACATTCCTTGCCTAGCCCTTTATACTTTGATAACCCCAGCTCATCATTTGCGTGCTGTGGCTCCCTGCGTTCGGGTGAGCCCACCTCCTGGGGGCTCCAATAGCCACGCGAGTGGTCTGTGTGGTGAGCTTTGTCACTGATAACAGAATGATCGGTGCCGTGTTCACCTGCCCAGCACAGTGGGCTCCATGAAGCCACACACCATGAACTCTCCTCCAGTCTCTCCTGCACTGTTCATCGTCTGCACTCATTTTTAGGTGGATGGATGATGGACAGGTGGGCGAGTGAGTGGAAGCAAAATGGATGGATGAGTGGATAGGTGGGTGGCTAACTGGACAGGTGTATCACAGATGGATGGAAGGTGGGTGGTGGGTGGGTGTGCAGGTGGATCATGGATAGGTCAACAGATGGAGGATGGATGGGCAGATGGGTGAATGGGTGGACAGAAGGATGGATGGGTGGACAGATGGGTGGATGGGTAGATGGATGGATGGATGGACAGATGGGTGGATGGGTGGACAGATGGGTGGATGGATGGATGGGCAGATGGACAGATGGGTGGATGGATGGATGGGTGGATGGACGGATGGATGGGTGGACAGATGGATGGATGGATGGGTGGACAGATGGGTGGATGGGTGATGAATGGGCAGATGGATGGGTGGACAGATGGGTGGATGGGTGGATGGATGGGTGGGTGGGTGGACAGAGGGTGGATGGGTGGGCACTTGGATGTGCATAGATGGAAGTATGCATGGATGAGATAGCTGCAGCTTAGTCTCAGGCACGGGTCCACCTGTGAGCACTGACTTACAAGATGTCAGTTCAACCTCTCCACAAAGAGGTGGGCCAACAGGAGAGGAGGGATCTAAGCAGGACTGCACGGGCCGTTACCGACAGAACTGGAATAGGCTCCAGGGCCCTTACCTGCATCAACCCCCCCACCCTCCACCCACCCCGAAAAATCCCAGGTTTTCCAATCCCCTGTGCCTTCCCATAGCTTTGGGGGAGTTTCCGGGTTACTTGGACCTTAAGGAACAAGTAGCCCGACTGCCATCAATAAGGTGGAGACATACTTGCGACTCGTACTCAGGGAGGTAGTCTGGTTCCCAGGGGGAAAAAGCAACAGTCTGGGAGGTAGGCGGCCCTGAGTTCCTGCTACTTACCCCCTCTTCTGCCGACCGTGAGATCGGACTAGAAGAATCCAGCTTCCCTGTTAGGACGCTGAGGGTTGAGCGTGTGTGCCTGCCTCATCCAAGGGCTGCACACACGTGGATCGGAGTGCTTAATGGGAAACCCTGGGTACCAGGCCAGCGCCCCCTGTGCTGGGATTACCCTCAGACAAGGATAGTGTGACCCTGGAAGTGAGCACTTCCTCAGATGCAGTACCCAGGAGCCACCAGCAGATGGCGGTATAGCTGCACATGCCACAGGGCGCCCTTTGCCCAGCACCAAGCAGTCAGGGCGGCCAGGACCTAGCGTCCTGCAGGGGGGCGGTAAGTTGCTTTGTCAACTAAATGTGAGTCTGACCAAGTCGGCCTAGTTCTGACTCCAAGTGCATCAGGTCTCCTGGACACCATGTCCACTTTGTGCTGGGTATCCCCCCCCACCACCAACCCACCTTGGACTTAGAGCAGGAAGTGCCTGTTTACTTGGCTTCCTGGTAAGTTAACTGTGAGGATGGCAGAGGGTTGGCAGCTTACTATACAGCAGGACTTTCACTGTGCCTGGTGAGGCGGGTGATCGACAGGAGAGTGCGGCCGGCGGCTGGCACCCACCCTGGCCATCTGTGCCGTCTGTGCCATGTCCCAGTGCCTGGGGGGCAGCAGGGGACAGCTCCAGGACCTGGGTCCCTGCCACCCACATGGGAGACCCTGATGGAGCTCCAGGCTCCCGGCTTCATCCTGGCTCATTCCCAGTTGTTGGGGGCATTTGGGGAGGGAACCAGCAGGTGGGTGCCCTCTCTCTCTCTGTCTATCTCTAACTTAGAAATACATGAAAATACACAAGTATTTTTAATTAAAAAAAAAACCCTGCACAACCAGTATTAACCATTTTATTACCATTATGAATGAGGGAGAATGCTCTTTCCCTTAACCTCCCTTTTTGCCAACGCCCAGAGCTGAGCCCAGGACGCCGGTCGGTAAGCACTGGGGTGAAAGCGAGGAAGGGGCCGGCTTCTTTCTCCTGCCTGGTTATCCAGATCTGTTTGTAAACTCCGGGGCTTGGTCAGCAAGGCTGCAAACCCCTGGAGGAAACAGTGCCCTCCCCACCCCAAGGCCTCCACGGCCTTGTCTGCACTGGGCTGCCTCCTTCGCCCTCTGCAGGGCCCGTCCCCCAGGGGGGCTGAGAAGCAGAACCTGGCGTATGTGCTGTGGGAACAGCCGGAAGCCCGTGCTGCGGGGCTTCCTCTGCTGGCGGGGAGGTGCCCCTTTCCCCTTCGGGACGCATTTCTCTTCCGCTTGTGGACCCTGCCCTCCGCCCACACCACACTCTGTCCTCCCGCAGGGCGAGCTCCTGGGAATGGAATTTTTAAAAGCCATCTATTTGGATGTGAAATGAGTTTCTCTTCTGAGCTCCTCTCCTGCACCAACCTCTTGCAGAGGAAGCAGTGAACTTGGGCCCTCCAAGCACAAGTGGCCCTCACGAGTGGGCCTCCCCGGGCTCTCTGAGACCAAGCCTCATGGCTCCAAACTCACTGTCTCTCTCTCACCAGGCTTCGGCGAGAGCCCCAGCCCCTGGGTCTACCGGGACCTCAGAAGAGCCCTGGATGAGACAAAAGCCAGACCCGGCGCGTTCGCCGCCTGCTTCACGGAGCTCCAGGAGAAGTTTTTTAGCAAGTATCCCAGGAAGCTGAAGGACTTGATCCTCTTGATGAAGTACTGGCGTCAGCAGGTAATTTTCAAATTGCAGACACCACAACGATGGTGATGATTCGCTTCTTTTTCGCTCAATTTACACCCAGCAAAGCTCGGCAGTCGTACGTATTGGACTCAACACATTTTTTACATCCTTATCAGAAACACTCAATCGAAATAGGTAGGGGACAACTCCTGCACCCCAGAACCACAGCCTTCAGTCGATAACCCCCCCCCCCCAAAGAAATCTACCGTCACTTGTGCCGGCTTCTGAGGGATGTCCGTGCGGCCATAGGATGCACAGTCTGTCTGTCTTCCACTTGGCCTGTGTCCTCGTCTGTGCGAACAGGTTCTTCCCGGTATGCAGTGTTGCATTGTAATAACTTCCCATGCGCTTGGCCATTCTGCTGCTGGGTGTTTGGATCATTTCCATGTTGGGGCCGTTGCTGCTTAGGTTGCTATGGCTATTCTGTGTGTGTGTGTGTGTGTGTGTGAGAGAGAGAGAGAGAGAGAGAGAGAGAGAGAGGGACTATGAACACGCCTTTCTCTTGGGGATGCAACTGCTGGGTTGTAAGCTGTATGTGTTTGTCCATATACACAGCCACATAGCGTACCTATGCATGTAGACACGTACAGAATATATGGAGAATATTTCTTTATGGATGCAACATCTGTAAGTACTGCGGAATCATTTTCCAAAATGGTTATACCAAATTACGCTCCCGTGAGTCATCGCAGGGGACTTCAAAAGTTCGTGGAAGTGGAGTGGGAAGATAAGGCTGGGGTGAGCCTTTGATCTCGGGGTTCAGAAATCAATCACGGTGCCCGTGTTCCCCATCACAGTGCCGGGTTCAAGTCCTGGCTCTGCCTCTTGCTGATGCTGACCTTGGGAGGCAGCGGTGGTGGATCAAGTGCTCGGCTCCCTGTCAGCCTCATAGGAGCCCCAGTTTGAGTTTGTTTTTGTTTGTTTGTTTGTTTGTTTTTTAAGATGTATTTATTGGCCAGCGCCACGGCTCACTAGGCTAATCCTCCACCTAGCGGTGCCGGCACACCGGGTTCTAGTCCTGGTCGGGGTGCCGGATTCTGTCCCGGTTGCCCCTCTTCCAGGCCAGCTCTCTGCTGTGGCCCGGGAGTGCAGTGGAGGATGGCCCAAGTGCTTGGGCCCTGCACCCCATGGGAGACCAGGAGAAGTACCTGGCTCCTGCCGTCGGCAGCGCGGTGTGCCGGTCGCGGTGTGCCGATCACAGTGCGCCAGCCGCGGCGGCCATTGGAGGATGAACCAACGGCAAAAGGAAGACCTTTCTCTCTGTCTCTCTCTCTCACTGTCCACTCTGCCTGTCAAAAAAAAAAAAAAGATGTCTTTATTTATTTGAGAGGCAGAGTTACAGACAGAGGGAGTGACAGACAGTGGCAGAGAGGTTTTCCGTTCACTCCCCAGATGGCTGCAGTGGCTGGAGCTGGGATGACCCAAGGCCAGGAACCAGGAGCTTCTTCCAGGTCTCCCACGTGGGTTCAGATGCCCAGGCACTTGGGCCATCTTCCACTGATGTCCCTGGCCATGAGCAAGGAATTGGATCAGAAGAGGAGCAGCCAGAACTTGAACTGGTGCCCATATGGGATGCCGGTGCCGCAGGCGGAAGCTTAACCCACTATGCCATGGTGCCAGCCCCCAGTTTGAGTTCTTAGCTTCTAGCTTCAGTCCCAGCCCAGCCCTGGTCAATTTAGGAACTGGGTAGTGAGTCAGCAGGTAGCAGTTAGCTCCCTCTCTAGTAAACATTTTTAAATATAAATTTCTTCTGATGCAACATACTTTTTTTTTTATTTGACAGGCAGTTAGACAGTGAGAGAGAGAGAGAGACAGAGAGAAAGGTCTTCCTTCCATTGGCTCACCCCCCAAATGGCCGCCACAGCTGACGTGCTGCGCCAGTTCGAAGCCAGGAGCCAGGTGCTTCCTCCTGGTCTCCCATGCAGGTGCAGGGCCCAAGCACCTGGGCCATCCTCCACTGCACTCCCGGGCCACAGCAGAGAGCTGGACTGGAAGAGGAGCAACCAGGACTAGAACCTGGTGCCCATATGGGATGCCGGTGCTGCAGGCAGAGGATTAGCCAAGTGAGCCACGGTGCCGGCCCCTCTAGTAAACATTTTTAAATATAAATTTCTTCTGGTGCAACATACTTTTTGAAATCCACACACAAAGATTTTTCTGAACATGCATTTCCCATGAACTCGAAGATCCTTTGTACACGAGAGCTCCAGCAGCCCGCACTTGGAATTGTCCATCACTGAATTTTAGGCATGCTGGCGGGAGGGGGGACTGTGACTTCCGGTGAGCACCTGATTTCCTGAGTTCAGATCCTTGACATGGGGGCAACAGGGTCCCTAAACTTGCCACTGCCCTTTGCTTGCCCCACAGTGCCAGAAAAATTGCGTCGGTTCCTCCGTTCCGCCTGTGTACGCTCTGGAGCTGCTGACGGTGTACGCCTGGGAGCAGGGCTGCGGTGCCCAAGACTTCGACATGGCCCAAGGTGTCAGGACGGTGCTGCAGCTGGTCAGGCAGCCAGAGAAGCTGTGCATCTACTGGACCGTGAACTACAACTTTGAGGAGGAGACCATCAGGAACACGCTTCTGCACCTGCTCGGATCTCCCGGGTATCGCTCCCCACAGCCCCTGCCCAGTGCCTCCCCCCGTGCCACTGGCCCTGTCCTCTGGCCAGTGATGCGCCTACAGGAAGGCAGCCATGTGGGCCGGCGGGCAGAGGGTCCGTCTGGAAGGTGACGGACCATGGTCGTTTTGTCCCCAAGACAAGCCCTGAGAGGCGCTTCCTCTTTATAGAGGGAAGAGGCCGAGGGAGAAAATGGGGCTGGTGGGGAGGGGAGAGCCCTCTGCTGTTTTCTCAGGGCATGCTGGGCCAGAGACAGCAGGTGTCTCATACGGAGCCCAGGCGCCAGACCCCACTGGCCAGACACCCGCTGCAGCCCCCACCCCCACCCCCCGCCCAAGCCATGCCGCTGGTTCGTTTAACCTACCGCCATTCCCAGGCCCATCATCTTGGATCCAGCCGACCCCACCAACAACGTGAGTGGGGGTCTCAGCTGCTGGCAGCTACTCAAGGAGAAAGCCCACGCCTGGCTCGCTGCTCCCAGCCTGAATTCGGAGCTGGGGTCCTGGAATGTTCTGGTGAGAGGATTTCCTAGATCCCACCTGTTTCATGCTGCCCCCGCATTCCTGTGTTGTAGCCCTGACCCCAGTGTCTGTTTCCTGCAAGTGCTGTGACAGAGCACCGGAAACCGGGGGCTCATGACAGAGCTGAGCTCTCTCAACGTGCTGGGGCTGCGAGTCCAGAACCAGGGGGCAGCGGGGCCCTGCTTAGGGGAGAACCTCCCAGACCTTCCAGGCTTCTTCCAGGTGTGGCGGCCGCAGGCCGGCCTTGGCTGCCTCCCTGGGCTCGTAGCCTTCTCCCGCGGAGTTCACAGCATCTCCCCCCGTGTGAATCTGTCTCCGTGTCTCTCTCTTCTATGAACCACGCCCATCTAATGACCTCATCTTCACTTGGTTACCTCTGTAAGGACCCCTAGGTTGGCACTCCTGTCTTTCAGCCACAGGTGTGGGGTGCACAAGGGAACGCAGAGGGAGGGGTACCCACGGAGGGGAGTCCCCGTGTGTTCCTGTCCGAGAGGAAACAGGTGCTGCCAATGGAAGCGGAGCTGAGCCCACGAGAAGTGAGCAGAGCTCACGCCCGTGGACGCAGTGTGGGCGCCGAGCTCACCCAGCAGCTGTGCAGGACAAGAGGGAGAAAGAAACAGAAATGCAGGCACAGACTCCAGGGCTGGCTGTGCAGCAGGTGCACTGGGTTTCCCTCCCGGACCCCAGAGGGAAAGCTCTACACTCAGAGCTGCTGCCGGGAAGTCTGTTCCTGGGTGAGACCCCTGGGCTCTCCAGAGTGGCGACAGGGGCACCGTGGGAGGCCAGATCCCACCTTTCGCCAGCACCAGAGGAGTTCACATGGGAGGTGGCCTCTGCATTCCACTTGCACGGACATTTGTGGGCTGGAACGTAAATGAAGGTGTAAATACCCCTGCTGATCTCCTGGGGCCCTGGCGGCAGGGGGGGGTGGGAGGGGGGTGGGGGGAGTGTACAAACAGGGACAGTCCCCTGTGCGTCCAGTGGGGTCACCCCTGTGCCCTCCTCTGTTGAAGCCCAGGGACCAGCAGGGTCTTGGAAAGCATTTGTTTTCTTTTCAAACTTCCTGAGGCTGTTAAAACCTCGTGGCTCACCCCCACCCCCCTTTTTCAAGTACACAGCATCCTGCAGTGTCTCACCCTGGCCACCACGGTGGTCACGCCACCTTCTCCATCCCTGACCCTGCTCCCTGCGTCTCCACTCTTGTGGTGACACTGGGCCAGCCCAAGTGATCCCGAATAACCCCCCAGGGCCCCAGACCGTCCATCACAGGAGCCCGGCCCTGCCCACGCCGCGGCTTTGGTGTTTAGCATCCAGAGTTCTGCTTCTTTTCAAGCCATCTGGTCAGGGTCATGCGTTATGGCAGCCACGAGAAACTGCTGCAGCTGGGTACAGCGTGCTCAGCAACGGCTGAGTCTGTGCATTTATTTAAAAAGGTAGAGTTACGGGGAGAGAGAGAGAGAGAGGTCTTCCATCCACTGATTCACTCCCCAAATGGCTGAAAAGGCCAGAGCTGGCCCAGGAGCTTCTTCCGAGTCTCCCACATGGGTATGGGGGCCCAGGGACTTGGTCCATCTTTTGCTGCTTTCCCAGGCGCATTAGCAGGGAGCAGGATCGGAAGTGGAGCAGCCGGGACTCAAACCGGCAGCCATACAGGATGCCGACACTGCAGGCTGTGGCTTAACCTGCTGTGCTACAATGCCCGCCCTGAGCAGAATTTGATAGAATCTTAAAAAAGGGCTGAGTGTGGTCACCCAAAATCCACGATGCCCACAGTAAATGGGAAAATCTGGAAGGAAGTGATGAGAAGGCAAAACAAAGAATCCACAGTGGAGAAGTGGAAAGCAGAGAGTGGTTTGGAGTGGGGACTCTGGGGTGAACCTGCCCAGAGGGGGACTCAGATTTCCCCGGGGCAGTCGGGGAGGGCGAGCAGGGGGTCTCGGGTCCCACCCAAAACTCTCAGGGGGTTCATGTGTCTGTGCGGGGACCAGGGCCCCTGGCCTAGTGGGCGGAGGGCCCAGCACGGGCAGCAAACGAAGCAGCGGGGGCTGCTCACGCCACGGCCATCTGTCTTCCGGCAGCCAAAGCCACTGTTCATGACCCCAGGCCACCACCTGGACAAGTTCATCAAGGACTTTCTCCAGCCCAATGAGCACTTCCTGAGCCAGGTCCAGCAGGCCATTGACCTCATCTGCAAATTCCTTAGAGAAAACTGCTTCCGGAATTCCACCACCAAGATCCAGAAGATTATCAAGGTGAGCCCTGGCCCCTCTCTTCCGGGAGCTGCTAGAGGGGAGCCGGGCCCAGGGAGGGAAGCTGGGGAGCTCGGTGGCCGGGACACTGCCGGGCTGCCTGCGTGCCGGCCGCACGCTCTCCTGGATCCCTGGCCGCGGGCTCTGCCGCTGTCTTCACATTGCCTTCTCCTCTCTGCCTTCTCCCCTCCTCTTCTCATCTAAGGACCCTTGGCATTGGAGTTAAATCCAGAGTGATCCCAGCTCCGGATCCTGAACTTAACCACATCTGCAAAGACCCTTATTCCAAACACGGTCACCCCACAGGCTCCCAGAGGACGTGTCTTTTCCAACCCACGGCAGCAAAAATGCAGATTTAGCCAGAAAGTGGCCTCTCCTGCTTTTTAATGCCCGGAGCCCACTTTGCTCCGCTGCTGGCTGCACTGAGCCCCCGCGGGGTCTTTGTTCTCACCCGTGCTTTAAAGGCCACCGGCTGTGACGCTTCCCTCTTCGCTGGCCACACCACCGGTCTGCGTGCGCCCTGGGTCTCGGGCAGGGAGGAAGGTAGAAAATGTCCCCGTGCAGCAGTGGGGACCAGACCTGTGTGCGCCACTCTCCTGGGGCCTGGGACACCACCCCAGCAGCCGCGAGCCACGAGCAGACTCCCAGAATGCAAGGGGGCGGGCTCGTGGCCAGTGTTAGAAACGTGCAGCCATGTTTTGTCCTCTTCTCCCGGAGACCCGGGCCCACGGCCGTGGATAAAGAAGGGCAGGTGTATAACAGGTGGAAGACACTAGGGCGGGAGCCACCGGCAAGGGGCACAGTTCTCCCCTCAGAGGTGCCAAGGGAGGACTTGCGGAGGGGGCTGCCACGGGGGAGGGGTCGCATGGACAAAGGTGGTGACCTGTAGATCCCCACGCAGGGAATAGAACACAGTCCCGAACCCTATAGCTGGGCTCGGTAAACATCCCCCCTGCAGAAATGGAATGGGGGAAGGAAGAAGAGGAGGGGAGTTAGTGGAGAAGCCTACACGGCAGCGTCCTAAGTGGCCCCCAAGTCCTAAGGTGTCTCCTGTCCAGCCCCTTTCCTGCACCTCCCTGGAGACATTCCCCCAGGGACCTGAGGCTGCGGAAGGAGCAGCTGGGAACTGGCCTGATTCTCTCAGATCACAGGAATTCCTATAAGGCTGAGCAGTTCTCTTGGAGACATCTAGGAAATTGCCTTGGGAAGTAGGCCATTTATAACCAGCCCAGGCACACGTGTGTGTGTGTGTGTGTGTGTGTGTGTGTGTGTGTGTGTGTTCGTTAACCGCTTTTTGGAATCTCATCCGCTAGTTTGTGAAACTCAACACCCTCCTTTGGCCTCCGTCCCAACTGGCCCCGAACACGGAACTTCCGCCTTGGTAACCTCACTCACTGCCCGACAGGTGCCGGCCCATGGGGGCTGGGCCAGCAGTCCTGGCAAGGCTGGGTCCCAGGCTTTCTTCTTCCCCAGGGAGGCTCCTTGGCCAAGGGCACCGCCCTGAAGAACAGTTCCGACGCTGACCTCGTGGTGTTCCCCGATTCGCTCAAGAGCTACACCTCCCAGAAAACCGAGCGGGCCCAAGTCCTCCGGGAGATCAAGGAGCAGCTGCAGGCCTACCAGAAGGAGCAGCAGCTGGAAGTGATCTTTGAGGTTTCCAAGTGGAAGAATCCCCGGGTGCTGAGCTTCTCTCTGAAGTCCAGGAAGCATTGTGAATACATCCATGTCGACGTGCTTCCCGCCTTTAACGCGCTAGGTAGGACGCCCTGGGCCTCAGCTCCTGGAGGGGGACGGTTCCGGGAGCTGGCAGTGATGGTGGGTGGGGGTAGCAGGAACACTGGAGACTTAGTGGTGGCTGTGGCAACGTCTGCCCCTCCTCAGGCCAGGCCTCCAGCAGGTGGCGCTGATCATGGCGGTGCTACCACAACCTGAGCAGGCTTTTGGTCTCACTTCTCACTCAAGTGTGTCGGGGGTGACCAGGAGCCTCCTCTTCCACGCCTCCGGTATCTCCCACAATGTCTGCAGAAGCACGCCCCACACAGGCGCTCACACGCGCTTATAGATAAAATGCCAGGAAGGGGGTGGAAGAACAGACGTGGGAGGAATTCTGTGGCCAAGACACAGGAAACCTGGGTGTCTGCCTTCGATTTTCAGCAAATGTCTCCTCTAGAAATTCCGCTCAGGAGTGGGTGTTTGGCCCAGTGGCCTCCCATAGCAGAGTATCCAAGTTCAAGTCCCAACTCCAGCTCCTGGGGGGCACCAGTGATGGCTCAAGTAATTGGGCACCTGCCACCCTTGCATTCGCAGCTCAGGCTCTGGCCATGGCCGTTGGGGCCATTTGGAGAGTGAACCAGTGAGTGGGTTCTCTCTCTCTCTCTCTCTCAATAAATAGTAAAATCTCATTGCTCTGGGATGCTCCCTCTATCTTACACATCAGTAATGCAAATACTCTAATGCCATTCGAAGTGGCTTCCCAGAATTCAGGTGCGTTGGGAGGAGTGGGTGCCGTTCCTGTTAAGGCATGTGTAATGTGAGTATCCTTCCCACCCTCCCCCTTCCTAGGGCAGCTGAATTCTGGCTCCACACCCGACCCCAAGGTCTACACGGAGCTCATCCGTCTGTGTAAATCCCCGGATGACGTCCTGGGTGGCGAGTTCTCCACCTGCTTCACGGAGCTGCAGCGCAACTTTGTCGTGTCCCGGCCCACCAAGCTGAAGGACCTGATCCGCCTGGTGAAGCACTGGTACCAACAGGTGCGAGAGCCGCGCATCACCCGCAAGCTGGGACCACGAAGCCGGCCCTGAGCCAGTGCCTAAACGCCCGCCCTCCTCCCCCTGGGGCCGAGCCGCCGTAGGGAAGGGCCCACTCCTTACTCCCTGGGTGTCTCAGCACAGCCCCCAGTCCGCACACTGGCCAAAGCATCCGGCAGGACCCCTGCTGCTCAGTGCCCTCCCTCTGGGGGCATATGGAAGCCACAGGCAGTGCCCCAGGCCAGCCCGCCCACGCACATGGCAGCCAGGGTCTCGCACTCAAGGTCATTTCTTTCTTTCTTTTTTTTCTCTTGTGCTGTATGGCAGAGATGGTCCCGGAGAAGGTCTTGTCTGTGGCCAGAACCACTTTTTTTTTTTTTATTTGACAGATAGAGTTAGACAGTGAGAGAGACAGAGAGAAAGGTATTCCTTCCGCTGGTTCACCCCCAAAATGGCCGCTACAGCCGGAGCTATGCCTATCTGAAGCCAGGAGCCAGGTGCTTCCTCCTGGTCTCCCACGTGGGTGCAGGGGCCCAAGCACTTGGGCCATCCTCCACTGCACTCCCGGGCCACAGCAGAGAGCTGGACTGGAAGAGGGGCAACCGGGACTGGAACCCGGCTCCCATATGGGATGCCAGTGCCGCAGGTGGAGGATTAACCAAGTGAGCCATGGTGCCAGCCTCAAGGTCATTTCTGACTGTTCTAATGGCACACATGAAGCTGAACATCAGTGCTGCCTTTCTGTGTCCACCTCCCTGGCTCCTGAAACTGACACTGGGCTCTGGCTTTCTTCCCAGTGAAGTCAGGCAGGTGTCAGGGTGCGACTGCTCCGCAGGCTCAGGGCTACCGGGTGAGCTTGGCGAGGCCCTCCCCTCCCCCAGCCCAGCGTCCTCCTCCAGAGTGGCAATCCCGGTGCTGGCCCTGCACCTGGGCTGAGGGCCCCTAACCAGCATGCACAGGGCTTCTAGTGGCCTATACGATGCTTAGAAAACTCATTAAAATGGAAGTACGAGTTAAGTTTATTTTGTGCAAAACAAAAATTTTTTTAAATTCATGCATAGTTTTTCCGTAACGCCTTTTTCCACAACCTTTTTCTTTTTTCAAGTTTTCCTTAATTTTATTTATTTGAAAAGCAGAGAGAGAACTCCCGTCGCTAATTCACTCCCCAAATGCTCACATTGGCTGGTGCTGGGCCAGGCTGACACTGGGAACTCAGGCCAGGCCTCCCAAGTGGGTGGCAGGAGCCCAGTGACTTCAGCCCTGGTTGCCGCCTCCCAGGGTATGCGTTGGCAGAAAGCCAGACTTGGGAGCAGCACTAGGACGGAAGCCAGGCCCTCAGCGTGAGATGCAGGTGTCCTGAGCAGTGTCTGAGCCCACAAGGCCAAGTGCCCACCAGCTGCCCAGTGACCCGTGCAAAGCTCATCTGCACAGCCCTCCCAGCTCCTGGCCTAGCTCCTTGGGCTTCTGCGCCTGGGCTGGGTCCTCAGACGCCCCTCTCTTCCCTCAGTGCAAAAGGAAGCTGAAGTCCCGGGGCTCCTTGCCCCCAAAGTACGCCTTGGAGCTGCTCACGGTCTACGCGTGGGAGCAGGGGAGCGGGGCCGAGGATTTCGACACAGCCGAGGGGTTCCGGACCGTCCTGGACTTGGTCTCGCAGTACCAGCAGCTCTGTGTGTTCTGGACGGTCAACTACAGCCTGGACGAGGACACGATGAGGACCTTCCTGCTGGCCCAGATCCAGAAAACCAGGTGCCCCAGCCCAGCCGCCCCCACCCCTCTTCCTGATTCTCCCGCAGCGCCGTTTCCCGAGGGGATGAGATTCACCCGTCCCAGGACGGCGCTGCCCCAAGAAGCTGTCTCAGTGCGTAGACGGCATTTTTTGTCTGCCCTTTCTGACCTTCCAGAATAGTAAGGAGCTTCAGGGCCACAGGCAAGGGACAAAAACTACAGAGGCAAGAGGAAAAGAAAGAAAACAGCATCATGGAGAAGTGGAAGGGAGGGAGGCGGGGACAGCAGGGGCTGCCTGGCTGAGGCTGTGGCTGCCTCGCTACCTTGTATCCATTGAACATCCATCTGGTTGCCTTGGCCCAGCCTCAGGAGATACTTATATTGTGTGCATAGTAGCAGCTCTTCAACCATTTTGGGGAAATACAATGTAATCCTTGCTTAGGGACTGTCAATGACTGACATCTGAGCTGTAAGGACACCTGTTTCATTGCTGCAAGTAGGACAGGCCCCAGATCCTGACGCCACAGATCAGGAAGGGAATCCTCTAACACCTCCTAACCCCTCTTTCAGGCCTGTCATCTTGGACCCAGCTGAACCTACTGGTGACGTGGGTGGAGGAGACCGTTGGTGCTGGCACCTGCTGGCCAAAGAAGCAAAGGAATGGTTCTCTTCTCCCTGCTTCAAGAACGGTGCTGGGTACCCAGTCCAGCCATGGAAAGTGCCAGTAAGAGTGTTCTAAGGGGCGTGCCCTCCGGATAAAGCCGTGGAACAAATACAGCCACAGAGCACCCAGCCCTGGGGCTGACACAGTTGGTCGCACCCCCCCCCTCGCCCGCCCCGAAGCATCCCTGAAGTCGGCCACAGCCTCAGTGCTCTTGATGTTTGGGGCTGGGAATCCCCTGTTGCAGGAACCTGTCAGGACCCCACCAGCACCCTGGGGCTTTGCCCACTGGATGCCAGTCACATCTCCCTGCCACAGTGACAACCACAGGTGCCTTAAGACATTGTTCAATGTCATTAACTTTAGTAGTCATGGCTGCCACCCCAGAAGGTCTGCCACACCTGTCCAAAGTGCCCCCCCCTGCCAAGATGCCCCCTGGTATCTCGCCCAGAGGAACTTCCACCTGGTGCACTGGGCTCTCCATCCACACCAGGGTCTTTCTTTAAAGCAGAGTTTTCCAGTTTTGGCTGATTGACAGTTGAGGCCAGTCTGCATGTCTGCATGCGTCTCCACCTGTTAGGTGCCTCCCAGCTGGGTCAATGTAAAATGTCTCAAGACATCATCAGGCATCCTCTGGGGAGCAAAATTGCCCCCCCAGGTGAGACCCTCTGCTTTCTGTCCCCAACCTGGGCGCCAGCCCTCCTTACCATGAACTGAACTATTGATTAAAAAATTACCCCTGGCCACATCCCTCTGCCCAAGCAGAGCTCTCCTTGTGTCTTTTTGCCCAATTCATTGAACCAGCGGTTGTGACTCCCGGAGGAACTGCCCCCCACCACGCGTATTTCTCTCTTTCTAGACAATGCAGACGCCAGCAAGCTGTGGAGCAAGGATGGATCCTATGGTCATGAGATGTTCTCATTCAGGAATTAGAGTCCTGGGATAGACTTGCCAGAGGAAGTTTCTAGAAGCCATTTGGCAACTGCTTTGAAAGAAGTGGTTTGCTGGGTAAAAGACAGCCTGGATGTGTCCTTCCTTCCCACCCCCTGCTCCTCCTCCCCAGACTTGAGATCCATGTGCCAGAGTCCACCCTGAAGCCGTGCCTTGTTGGAGGCCCCCTGGGCGAGCGCCCTGGCTTTGTCTATGCTGCTCTCCCCTCGCTGGCTGTGACCGGATCTCTGGCTACCATTCTGCATGTTCCCACTTAGCTCCTCCCTTGGCCTTCAAGTCTTAGCAAGGAGCTTCCCCTGAGCTGGGTTCCCGGGACTCAGTGGCCAGCTCTCACGATGGTGCCACGCGTCCTGCTTCCCCTTCTTTCCCTTGGGACACAAAAGCCTTCCCTCCCTTGCCCACGTGGAGGCTTCTCCACCTGCAGCTGCCAACCCTCGCCCTTCAGGTTCCCCAAAGGCGCGGGTGCTCACGGCTGCCTTGTGAGTGCGCGTGGATCTCTCGCCTTTCCTTCTGCACCTGCCTTGCTGCCTGGGATACTTCACTCGGGCTTCAGTTCAAAGCCGCTCGAGGGTCTCCGTGCCCTCAGCCCACCAAAGCTTCCTTTACTACTGAACACACTAACTGTGACGCCGCGAAGAGTCTAGCACAGAGCTGCCGAACCCCTAGGGCTGTCCTGGGAAGGGCATCTTTTAGGAGCCCCTTGTAACCACCCCTGAGTGGATGCTAGCAAGGGGGCTCCAGGTGGGCGCTTGGATAGTTCTGAGGGTGAGAGGAGCTGGCTCTGCCACAAGACTGAGCCGGAAATAGCACGTGTGTGACTGGGGGGCTGGAAATTTCCACACCACGCTCTCAAAGCTCCAGGGAGGAGGGGGCTGGAGACTAAGTTCCATCAATGGCCAGTGATTTAATTAACCATGCCTATGTAATGGGACCCAGTCATGGCCTTGGATAAAGAGGCTCAGGGGGCTTTGTGGCTGGCAAACATCTTCATGTGTCAGGACGGTCACGCACCCCAGCTCCACGGGGACAGAAGCTCCCGAGCTGGCCCCAAACCTGCCTCACCACCCTGAGTGTCTCTTCTTCCGGCCGCTCCCTTGTATTCTCTGAAATACAAGGTGGCTCTGAGGACAACATTTGCTGAAGTTCCATGAGACAGTCTTGTGAATGATTAAAGCTGAAGGGGGGTCATGGGATCCCCAGATTTGCTGCCAAGTCTGAAGAAAGGGTGGTCTTGCATTGGATGCTGCTCTTCCAGGTGTGGGGTCTGCACTAACTCGGGTGGTTTAGTTCATGTTTAGAGCTGAGCTGAGCTGCGGGGCAATCGCTGGTGGCAGAGGAAAGGGAGGACTTGAAGCTGAAATGAAGGAGCACTGGACATGCGCACCTGCTCAGTCTGTAGCTCCCAGCTGCCCCAACTGGCCAGGGATGGGAGAGAAGGCACAGGAGGCAGTAAGACACTGCCCCCTCCCCCACACACTTGCTCACAGCCAGAGGAACCAAGGACGAAACCCCAAAACTCCCGGAAGAAAAGGGACCCTCAGCAGATGACTGTGCGCCTGGTGGTGCACGTGTGCAGGGCGGATCAGGACCGGCGAGGATCATGGGAGAACTCGGAGCCGCACAAAGGCAGGCAGGGGCCATTTCATCTTCCCCACCAAGGGCCTCCCAGCACTTACTAGGCAGCTGAGGTCACTAAGAACAAAGGTAAGCGTTGGCAGTGACCGGGAAGCGTGGTCGTGGGCAGGCGTTTAGCTGTTACGTTGCCTGTGTTCTATATCAGAGGACCTGGCTTCGGGTCCCGGCTCCTGTCCCTGACTCCAGCCTCCTGCTCATGCAGACCCTGGTGACGGCTCAGGTCTCTGCCATTCAGAGACCTGGGTTGAATTCCTGGCTCCCAGCTACAGCCTGGCCCAGCCCCAGCTGTTGTGGACTTTTGGGGAGTGAACCAGTAGATGGCAGAACTCGGTGTGTGTGTGTGTGTGTGTGTGTGTGTGTGTGTGTGAAACAGAGAGAAACATGGTCGTTCCTGGAAGCAACGAGGGCACCAATCCTTTTGCAGAAAATAGGCAAAGAAGGCAATGACTAGGCAATAATGAAACCCAGCGTCTCCTGTACAACCCATGCTTCAAGATAACCAAATCAGAACTGATAAGAGAAGAACGGATGTTGAAAGATGTCACAATGAGAAACATCTCCACTTCGGGACCTCCGATGAGACTATTGATTTGGGCAGAGATTATCAGCAGGTGCTAGCGCTAGGCGAGCTGCTGATGGGGTACACGGTGAGGGGGAGGGGGACGCCCCTCCCAAGGCCACAGCTTCCTCCTCAAATCAACAGAGACAGCTGCACGGGTGCCTCCAGGTGTGGGGCCCGCTGGGCACCATCCAGTTTTTGACTTGCAAAGTTGAGACAAAAATTATTTTTTAAATTTGGCACCCATATTGGCTACAAGTAACACGTGGGATTGAGTTAAATTCCAGAGAAAATGTCTAAAGCAGAAAATTCATCGACAGAGATACTTCAACACAGCAAGGAGTAGCCAGGACAGAAGTGCGGAGGGGCACGGGTGCGTTCTCACCAGCACAGACGGGAAAGGAGCCAAGAACGTAGCAAGAATCTGATTAAGTAGATGTGGCGGTCAAGATCCCAGGCCTCTAATTCCACTCCTGGTTACCCCGGCAACCAGGTCCCCACTCACAGAGGAAGTAGACAGGGATGAGAAGCTGAGCCTCACATAGCCGATGAGCCAGGAGGAGGTGGGAAGAGTTGGAGCAGCAGAGCAAGACAGAGGCCACCCGTTTGTGGCTAAAAGGTTCGTCTGGAACCACATGCTGGAGGGCTTCAGCCCCTCGGACCCGGGGCTGCCCCAGCTGAGCCTAGAAACACCCCTGCAGAGAAAATGTTATAGTTCCATTCCCTGGCAGCAGTGCCTGGGCTAACCCTCAGACAAGGCAAAGGCAAGGGCAGCTCTCGATCCCCCCCTGCTGGCCGGTGGAGTGGGGCGTAGCCATGGACAGAAGAGCCGGCATGGATGCCAGCCACTGGACCCAGCTGGGAGCGCGCCCAGTGCCCAGCGTGCTCGCCGCGGAGGGGGCTCCTCAGAGAGGTGCTGTACGGGAGCCGCTGTGCCCTGTGGCAGGGCCAGGCCGGGAATGGTGGGGGGACCGACTGTGGGGCTCTGGGGGACGAGTCAGGGCATCACCAACAGAGCAGAAAAGCTCAGGTGTGGAGGGGTCAGGAAGAGGGACCCTTCGCCAGGGCTTGGCAAGAGACGGGCTGGCAGAGTCACAGCCGTGGACTCCCTCTCCAGGACCAAAGCCCCGGGCAGGGTGGGAATGTGTCTGAGACGGGAGAGCAGGATGAAGAGGCCCTGGGGAGGGTCTGGCCAGGCTGAAAGCCACAAGGGAGACAAGGTGGCCAAGAGCTGACCACTGTAAGCTCGCATCCTAGCCCCTCTACATAGGAAAAAGCCTCCAAGCCCTCGGGCAGTCTGGAAATCTAAGGAGGGGCGCAGCATGCAGAATAAGGACCCCCCCCCCCGAGATAGTCACATCCTGGAAGCCAACAGCCAGGAGCTTCTTCTGGGTCTCCCACGTGGGTGCAGGGGCCCAAGCACTTGGGCCATCTGGTTCTCCTTTCCCAGGCCAGATCGGAAGTGGAGCAGCCGGGATTTGAACCGGTGTCCATGTGGGATACCGGCGTCAGAGGTGGAGGCTTAACCTACTATGCCACAGCACTGGCCCCCTAAAATAAATCTTTACAAATAAAAGCAAATGTCTGCTTGGACTCACAGATGCACATCGCCTCTCTGGTTCTTATGAAACTGAAAAGCTACATTTTTGTTATCATTTCCAGGCTGTCCACTACACAACTGTGATGCTCTTGAGGTAATTACACTGCGGTGTGGATGCAGGCCACTCAGTGCTTTGAGCCACTTTTCATTGCAGGTGCAAACAGAGACAGAGAATCGTGTGTGGCTCCAGGGGGGCGCTACCTGTGTTAGAAATTCTTTCCCGCTGGCGCCGCGGCTCACTAGACTAATCCTCCGCCTTGCGGCACCGGCACACCGGGTTCTAGTCCCGGTCGGGGCGCCGGGTTCTGTCCCACTTGCCCCTCTTCCAGGCCAGCTCTCTGCTGTGGCCTGGGAGTGCAGTGGAGGATGGCCCAAGTGTTTGGGCCCTGCACCCCATGGGAGACCAGGAGAAGCACCTGGCTCCTGCCATCGGATCAGCGCAGTGCGCCGGCCGCAGCGCGCCGGCCACGGCAGCCATTGGGGGGTGAACCAACGGCAAAGGAAGACCTTTCTCTCTGTCTCTCTCTCTCTCACTGTCTACTCTGCCTGTCAAAGAAAGAAAGAAAGAAAGAAAGAAAGAAAGAAAGAGAAATTCTTTCCCAAGGCTAGGAGGTGTTTAGAAAGAATTGCCTTTAGAGCTCCCATGGAATGATGGGTGAGCACGTGGGACTCACACAGACATCATTGTTTTCCCTTTTGGGCCACCTGGGAAGCTCGGTTTGAGGCCAAAGCTCTCCCACACCTGGGGTGGGGGTGGGGGGAGAGGGGGCAACAGCCATGATTTCTCTCATTGGTGACTTTTTTTTTTTTTTGAAGTTTCCCTCCAAAAAGAGGGAAGAAAACAGGATCAGGGATGGCGCTGTGACTTAGTAGGTTAAGCCACCACCTGCAGTGCCAGCATCCTGTATGGGCACCGGTTCAAGTCCCAGCTGCTCCACTTCCCATCCAGCTCTCTGCTATGGCCTGGGAAAGCAGTGGAAGATGCCCTAAGTGCTTGGGCCCCTGCACCCACGTGG